CAGCAGGGTTACCAAGGAGCACACTGGACATACAAAACAAATTGCAAATGCAAACCCGTCCTTGTGACTGTGTCAAGTTAGCAATAGAAATGAGAGGCGACTCCTTAGTAGTGATCTCTGCAGCTTATCTTGGTCTCTGGGAGAGCTTTCCTTAGGAGTAGAGTAGAAAAGAAAAAAAAAATGAGAAGGAGGAAATTTATTTTGCAAGCCTGATGCTTGCATCTGATTTTGCTTCACTAGGTAAATCTTATTAGGATGGGGACTTTATAAAGCTAGCAGGTTCTTGAACTACACACACATTTCTCCCTGAATATAAAGAAACTGAAAATAAACATCATGTTATTACTGTATTATTTCCAGCAGAACATCGGCCGTTCTGAACAGACACAGTGCGGTACACCCTTATGTGTCATTTCATACATTTTAAGAAATAATGACATATGTGCTCACATGTAGTCACATGACCATGCATTCCTAAGTGTTCTCTTTGCTGAATTTTCATAAATTAAGAGCCCAAATTTTGCCAACACAAAGGCCTAGAAAAATAGATGTCCTGTTCAGCCTTTATCTCAGAAAGGTGTTTCATTGACTTCAACGTTTGTGATTTTATAACACTGCGTACAGCTGCATTTGAAGACAATAGAAGACCATCTTCTGACATGACGACTTTTTCCCAATAGATGTATTATTTATTGATGGACTTTTATCTTGAAAAGATATGAGACTTGATGGAAAAATAAGGTAAATGTCTAAATTAAAAATGCTTTAATGTATAAGACACATTACTGTTAATTTCGTGGAAAATTATCCCCCCAGCCCTGCTTCAGACACAAATATCACTCCATTCTTGCCACTTTTTAAAGCAGTTCCAAATGTCCTTTTTCATGAGTTTATCCATGCTGTTGTGCCGGCTATAGGATCGTCAGCTGATTGAACATGTTGGCCTTTCGTGGTCCTTTTCACTTTGGGGAAGAGCACCGTGCCCGAGCCAGTGGGCGCAGGGTGGACAAGGAAGCCCTGCAGTGTTCTCGTGAGTTGCCTTTCCATTGGCTGGCACTCTGCAGCTGCATCTGTTGTAGTTTTGAGAGAATTTTGGATCAGGCAAAAGAACATCTAGAACTTCTAGAAAGTGGCAAGAATGATGGGATAAATGTGTTTAAAGTTAGAAAGTGCCTTTTCAGGGGGATTCAAGACAATTTGTCTTTTGCTGTGATACATTTTTAAAAATTTAAACATTCACCATGTATTTTTGTTCCATCTCGTAGTAGTGAGACTACCTGTTAAGTTTAGAGGACAAAGTCATCAGGATAACTGGATGAGGGAGAAGCGAACCTGTGACTCCAGATCGCCACGTAGCAGCACAGCAAATGGCACAGTGGAGAGCAAGTTTATAGGAATGGGCGGATGAGTCGCAGTACCACGAGCCCCATCCAGGATCTCGCCCCTGCTGGCCTGAACTTGGCTCAGGCTCCTCCCTCACCCAGTATGCAGACAGCCAAGAGCAGCTTCCTTTTTCATAATGCAATGATGGCTGCCTAATCAGTGAAACTGCAGCATATCAAGAAGGCAATTTAGTGTCTCTAGACTAGGAGTGTTTCTTAAAAGCTCTGTAATAGAATAGGGACAAGGGTAGAACTAGGGATCTGTGAATTAGGAAGCAGTCAACACATAGACGTTTCGGTATACTTACATTTGTGGAGTGGGCTTTATTACAGATAGTGTGTATAGCTTTAAGGAAACTTCAAATAAGTAGAAACCTTGGTCTGAATCCAGTGTGTGTTGCTATGATAGAATATCCCAGATGGGCTAATTTATAAAGAACAGAAATTTATTGGCTCCCTGTGCCAATAAGAGGATGTTAAGTCCATGATCCAGGTGTCATCATTCAGCGCATGGTGAGGTGCTTCTTTCCATCCTCACCTGGACAAGACAGAAGGGTGAGGTGGTTGAGTGCATTCCAGAGAGGCCCTTGTGGCCTGGACTGTATCACTCCCCAAGCATCCTAAGTTTTGGAGAAGAAATATTTAAACCACAGCAAGATTTTAGAGATGAAGTATCTTAAAATGTGCAGCAGTATTATGTAAATTAATGAATTTACAATATCCTTTAGCAAGGATATTGTGGCCATGTTTTCCTTTAAAGACCTGCATTCAGCCTTAACCTTCCAAGGTCAATTAATGACGTTACTTGTACTGTAACGTCATGTAACTTAGTAGTGTCCCAAATTTTCTGATCAAGGAGATTATGGGGCCTAAGAGGAAAGTGATCGATGACGTAGAGTGTGCCTAAGGAGAGTCACATGGAGAGAAAACATTCTCAGCCTTTCATGGGGAGCACATTGGCCAAGCAATGGCCGTGACTCATCCACATGGCTGACACTGACAAAGGTTCCACAATCTGAGGTACAAGGTCTCAGGATAAATGCTGAGGGGATTTCACTGACCTTATCAGACCCAAAAGCCACAATTCTAGTGACATAGGTCTTGCTTTATCTTGGTCTTAACCATCCAGCAGAGAAGTATAAAAATGAAGCATAGGAAGTAAAGCCATGTTGTCATGTTGAGCTGTAGGGGACTCGGGTCAACAACTTCTGACATCGTCAGTCAAGTGGAAGACCTAATACTATTATGGACTACTGGACTATTTTGGAATATTTTGCTGAGTTCACATACCTATAATATTTAAATGACAGAACTAAACAAAAAAAGAGGATACAGATGAATGTTCATTTTGTATCTGTGTATTCAAAATGGTTAGGATAGATATATAGCTGCATTCTCTTAATTCAATGAATAGAGGGATTTGTTCTAATAGTGTTTGTAAATAGGATATTATGTCCGCATCTTGTACAACAAATAACCACTAGGAAGACAGTATGCAATGTGTTAATTATTGAAATTGTCCTACCAATTTGATTTGAAACTGTCTCATTGCTATTTGTTTCTCAATAAAATTATGGAAAAGAAGAACTGCATTCAATGCAAGAGTAAAACTTGTAAATGTTTAGATATCTGTAAAAGAAAGGAGTGCTAGAATGCAAGAGGAAATGTCAGGTAGTCAGATGCAGAAAGAAAAAACTATATATTTAAAAACTCAGTGAGATAATTTTTAAAACTTAGGATAGGAAATCGATACTCACAAATATCTCAAGGTATTCTGTATTTGTAAATTTTAGTTGGAATACTTGTTACCAAGTTTTAAAAATTGTAAGGAACAATTTGATATTAAACCAGATATATTATGTTATATGAAGTAAAAGAACTTTTAGTTACTGTACATGATGTATATTCCTATGACACAATTATAAAATATTCTCAGGGTTGATTTAAGAGTTCTTGCAGTAACATAACAAAAATTGATAGAGTTAAATACTTAGCGTTGATTTGGAATCAAGGAAATGTTCTACACTGTTAGGCATATTTATACAACTGTGGACATCAATAGTCTACTCCATTTTTCATTAGCAATTTTATCTGTCCACTGAATGTGGTAGCCTTTTAGTTCTGTTGTTATCACTTAATTTATTTCCCAGTTGTGAAAAGAGGTATAGAATTGCTCTTAGTAAATTTTCAGTGATTTAACCTTTATATAACCAAACTCGAGATGAATCCAGACATATATATATATATATATATATATATATATATATATATATATATATATATATATATACTATGAAGGAAATTGGGGCTATTTTCAAGAGGTGTATGAGACATCTGCATTTTGGTGGGAATTAGAAGAGTGAAGGAGAAGCCAGAGCAAGCCAGGTTGCTATCAAATCTCTTATGTTAGTCACTGCCCTGCCTCAGACACATACCATCTGTGTCAGTCAGCTCTCCATGACTGTGACAAAATATCTGAGACCATCAACTTAAAAGGAGGAAAGATTTATTGTGGATCATGGTTTCAGAGGCTTCTGTCATGGCTGGTTTGCCCCATTATTTTTGGGATTGTGGTAAGTTGTATTATGGTTTGGGCAAAATGGCTCACTTCCTGAAATGAATAAAAGAGAAAGTTGAAGAGAGGTAGAGGTAAAAGGCGGGGGGGGGGGGAGAGACAGAGAGAGAGAGACAGAGAGACAGAGAGAGATAGAGACAGACAGAATAGGAGAGGAAGGGACGAAAAGAGAAGGAGAGAAGTGAAAAAGAAGGAATGGATGGGAAGGAAAGGAAAAGAAAGGGAAGGGAAGGAAAGGATAGAGAAGAAGTGACCGGGGTCCTAATAACTCCTTCCTGTGACCTAACCTGCTTCCAACAGGTTCATCTCCTGAAAGTTCTGCCACCTTCCTGTAATGCCACAAGCTTGAACCCAGGAGACATCTAAGTTCCAAACCATAGGGGTGTCTTTCAGTGAAACCACTTCTATTACTTCCTTACAGTCTGTCTGCCTCAGCTCTCTCCAAGATATGAATGAAGCAGATTCAATGAGAGAAGAGAGAATTTTCTGACTAGATTGAAACATGTTTTTTCCTGGTTTACAAGTATCCAGAGTTTCCGCATGAAGCCCAAAGTCCTCAGGCTGGTAGTAGATTATTTTACAGTCTTGTCAGTACTACTCCTGCCCTCAAAAAATCCACAACTCTGCATGGCCCCTCAATAGAACAAGTCCTGCCAGTTTCTTCTTGCTGAGTAGAACATTCCATGCCTGCTAATTTTGGCCTCTGGCTGGGTCAGTCACATCCCTTTTGCGACATCACTGTTTGGTGACGGCCTTTCTGAAATTTTCCCTGCCCATCAGAAATATCACCCCACTTTCTTGTCATCATAGCTCTATTCCATACCTCTATTAGGGTTCTTTTTTTGTGCTTAAAAAATTTAGGATTTTATTGAAATTTGCATAAAGGTAAAAATTTTACCAAAATTTAAATGGAAACCTAATTTTAAACATTTTTCCACACACAAAAGAAACAGACCTTATGAAAAAAAAACCATATCACTTCAAAATTACCTTTTCCCATTTTTCTACTGCAGGGTGGTAGATCCTGCTAGATGATGGTCAGTAAGGAGAAAGGATGCTCTCAATATAATTCCATCTTCAGAGTCGTTTCATTATGACATGACTTAATTACAGAGATGTCCCTAAGAATCAGCATTCATTAGTAGTGAAATTAAAATGAAACCTTCTACTACAAAATCACAAATAAGGCTTTTGGCTGTACTTTTAGCATAAAGTAAACAAGATTCAATATTAAGGCAAATGGTAAAATACATGTATGGCATATTAATGTAGAACTTCCACTGTAAAATGTGTTTAGGATATTCCTAACTTTTTCTAAAGATGTGTTGTAATTAGAAACTTACAAAAACTGCTATAGTGTGTAATAACTATTTGCTTCAATGTCTTAGGTCTGCCCTTGTGCCAGTTAAAATGTTAAATGGAATCCTATTTGAGGTTTTTATGGCTCATGTTTTTTTTTCTACCATAAGGTAACTATTCATCAATATTCTTCTCAATGAGCCAAGGTGTGCCTTAATTAAATTTGTGTATATATGCACATAATTGGGCCAGAGACTGTTCCCCAAAGTGGGCAAGTGCTTGCAAATAGAGGACATTATTTTTAGAGTTACTACATATATAAAATCAGACTAGGATGTCTGGGTAATTTATCTAAGAGGACACAGATCTCAGATTTTTCACAGTGATTCTTATTCATACTTCCCCATTTTCTCCCAGTGAGCGAACTGTTTTGTCTCCCGCCCCAACCCTCTTCTTCCTCTTCACAACGAAGGAGTCATTGGGAAAATGGCTCCAAGGAGACATCACTTCTTTCTCACACTGGCCACAGCCTTCTTGGCTGTGTCCTCCAGGTCCATAGCCAAGGTGATGGGAAGCCCGCTGTTTCTGAGTATGTTCTGAGCCTCTTGGACATTCATTCCTTCAAGGTGGACCAGCAGGGGCACCTTCAGTCCCAGTTCCCAGCAGGCTTTGGTGATTCCATTGGCTATGACGCCACAGTTGACAATACCGCCAAAAGTATTGACTAAGATGACTTCAACCTTAGGAACGGATATGAGCAATCTGAAAGCTTGATACACTTGAGATTCCTTTACACCGCCTCCCAGGTCCAAGAAGTTGGCTGGCTTCCCACCACTGAGGAAAATGATATCACAAGTAGCCATGGCTAGTCCCGCACCATTCACAAAGCAGGCAATATTCCCATCCAGTCCTATGTATTTTAGATCATATCTGGCAGCTTCATTTTCAATGGGCTCATTCTCTGATTTGTCATCCATAGCAAATATCTCCTGTTGTTGGAATTCAGCATTGTCATCAAAGTTTATCTTGGCATCAAAACAGACAGCTTGGCCTTCCGGAGTCTCACCAAAGGGATTCACTTCTACCTGAGTGGCATCAATTTTCAGGAAGAGATTATACAGCTTCTTAATTTGATCTGCAGCCTGGTTTTTCAAAGTCCCAAGGAAGCCCAGATTTTCTGCCATCCGCTGAGCTTGGCTGACCTTTATGCCTTCAAAAATGTCAATTGGCTCCTCAAAAATAAGTTCTGGATTGGAAGTGGCCACTTCTTCAATGTCAATGCCACCCTGGGGGCTACCCACCAGCACAGGGCCATTGTAGGCCCGGTTTATCAGAATCACTAAGTAGGTTTCTCTGGAAATGTTCAGGGCTTCAGCAATCATCACCTTGTTAACTTTCACACTTTCTTTGGGAGTTTGTTTTGTTGCTTTATTATACCCAATCATCTGTTTAGCCAGCTGTTTCACAACTTTGGGGTCTTTTGTTAAATGAACACCTCCTTTCAGGCCACTATTGAAGACACCTTTTCCTCTTCCTCCAGCTAAGATCTGAGCTTTCAAAACAATCTCTTTGGCATTTAGTCTCTTAGCAGCCTCCAGAGCTTCATTGGCAGTGCTTGCTACAAAGAATCTTTGAACTCTCACTCCACTGTCAGACATCAGTTTCTTGCTCTGGTACTGCTGTAGGTTGAGCCATCTTCTGGAGGTGCACTGAACCGCCTGAGACCCGGGGCCAGAGCACCAGGTCTCACAGGAACTGGCCCTCCTGCGCGGCTGCGGGGGACACCATCTTAACCAGGAACCTCTATTAGGGTTCTTAATATCTGTTGTTATTTAGGTTGTCTACTTTCCTCTGGCTGAGAAATCCTCAAGGATAGAATTTTCTTCTTTCCAGTCCTCTTGTATGCTGTATAAACATAGTAGCTGCTCAATTACTATGTCAACAAATAAGGTCTGCTTCAGATTTTGTTTTACAAAAACTATTCAGTATTCTTACTCATTTGATACTGGTTAAAAATATATGTTAGTAACCTAGGTTCTCATATCATTGTTCAACTAAGGAAATAGGGAGAAAAGAGTTAAGGTGCATATTCTATGCCAAATTGTTTTTACTCGAAAATTCCTATGCATGTGCATGTGTGCACGCACACACACACACACACACACACACTTTTTCCCCCTTCCGTTTTTTTCTTTTTTCTCTTCTCCCTCATCCTAGTTGTCTCTTCCCTTTGCACATTTTCTTTCCCTTTCACACTATCTACTGTATCTTTCAGATTTAATTTACTCTTTCAGGTTCTTAAGGAGACAATATGGCGTTTATGAAAATACACAGAATAACTTATATAATTGTGCTGCTGATTTCTACTAGTATGTTGAAAGGAACAGTTAATGCTCATATTTTTCTTTTTAAAAATTTTTGATCAATTTTGTATGCTTATATCTGGTAATCTGAGCAACTAATTTGAAGACAACAATATGCAATGCAACAACTATTGTTGAATTCCTATCATTTTGGTTAGCGAAATTCTGTATCTTTTTTTTTTTTTTTTTTTTTTTTCTGGAACCGGGGATTGAACTCAGGCCCTTGCACTTGCCAGGGAAGTGTTTATTCTACTGAGCCATCTCCCAGTCCCTTTGTATCATTTCTAATAGTTCTTTCAAACTACTTTTTTTCTTTTTTTTAAAAAGCACTTCACATCTAAACTATGGCAAAACAGCAATGTTCTAATTTTTTATTTCCAGACATACACACATTTTTGAAATCTGTTTAAATTTGTAGATATAAAAATAAATTTTTTCATAATAAATACAAGCATGGACACACACACAGGACTTTGTTTAGTGGTGTTATTTGTTGATGCCATTAATTCAATGATGACATTTTAAATTTTATTTATTTATTTGGTACAGGGGCTCACTACACAGCTCACACTCACAGTGATCCTCATGTTTCAGCATCCCCAGCGCTGGGATTACAGACATGTGCCACCATGCCCAGTTTCATGGCCAGCATGGCATACAGCACCAGGGATCAAACCTGGGCCCTTGAGCTTGCCAAATAGATGCTTAGACCCCTGAGCTATCTCCCCAGCCCAATGATGACATTTTAAAAGCAACATAGTATGGTGGTTAAGCAGAACTGGCTTCACAAGTAAAATGTATGGGTTGAAAGATTAACTGCACTAGTTACTAGCTGACTAACTGGAAAGGTGCTGTGTCTCAGTTTCTTTTTCTGTAAATGGAGACTACAGTGGTGAGAACTCCTAAGGTACTTTGTGAATGAACTGAGTTATTTCATTTAGAGGTGCCTGGGCATGCAGTAAGGTCCAAAAAGGTTAGTTGTGGTTTTTATTCCTAAATTAGCGATTTCTTTCCCACATCATTGTTCTGTGAGACCTCTTCTGCCAACTCAATTGTTGGTGTAGAGAGAGGCCTTTTCTCCTTTTTAGGAACATTTTGCAGTTCAAGTTGCAAGTTCAAGAGGAATCTCAGAAGTAGAGAAGGGTAAATAAAAATAAAAATTTTAATGGAGAAAGAGCTGGAAATGAAAAACTGAGTTGAACTCCTTATTTCTTTTGTGTAAAAGTCCTTGTCCAAAAAAAGTAGGCAATTTAGAAGCCAGTATGAGCTGAGTAACTAGCAGATGAGTGTTTGTTGAGACACCACCTTAAAATAGTATGGAGATGGACAACTTTTATTATGAAAAGCAACTGTGGAGAGGCTCTGCGGATGTGTGCAAGTGTGCATGCGTGTGTGTGCACACACGTGTGTGCTATGCTAAAATATGTTTTAGAACATATTTATTTTAGAAATGTTTAAAAAGAATTCATGCTGAAGAAATTTTGAAAAGGAGACTAAAAATAGGGAGAAAAAAGGTTCCTTAATATGTTCTTCATGATAGGATTTATGGATGGGGGTTTCTAATGTGTATAGGGATGGAATATGTATAATCTATTTATAATAATTGATTACTGCATAGAAAAATGAACAGAAAATTTCTCAGAGAAAGGAGCGATGATACTGAATACCTGACACTACTAACATTTCTCTGAATCTAAATACACCTTTGCTTGTCTGTCACCTTCTTTACTGAGTGTAGCCCTCCACACACGTCCGCCATTAGAAGTTATCCTAGCTAAATATCGCAGAGGTCCTGTAGAATCAGGGATCTGAAAACAACGTCCCGCTTAGTTGTTTTAATCTTTTGTTGACATTTGAAGAGCTTAAGATTTGAGCATTTATAACTTCTATTTGAGCACATTAAACTTCTGTCCCAGGCAATGTTGCTGCATGGGCTGAGATAAAATATATGTGGTTCTGGTGTCTGGTATAAAATCAGCACTTGATAAATTCTGGTTGTTATATTTCTGTCTTGTTAGTTCTGACATTAATGCAATCACTGTAGGTATACCACAGCCATTCTCTTAAACTCCAGTATTGATTCTGTGGCTCCAAAACCTTTGCTGGGAACTTTGCATCTCAGAAAGAAGCAATATACTATATTTTTAATTTTACTACTTAGAATGGATCAGAACAGATTAAATATTAGCTTAAAACTGAATTCTAATGATGGCAAAAATGACTTCAATAATTCCTGAAATATCTTTCCAATTTCTTAAAGGCAAATTATTTCTCTTTAAGTTATATACTTCTTAAATATACTTTCTCAGTGTATATTTTCTTAACCTCTCAACTCTCATAATTATCTCCAATTCAACTTATGAGTTCTATGCAAAATAAAAAAATACATTACTGAATACAATAGCAAAACAGTTTTTGATGATTTTTTCACAGTATTGAATCTTTTTTGAAAAATGTATTTTGGTTGTTGCAGGGTCTCACTACACAGCTTGGACTCATGGCGATCCTGTCGCTTTCATCCTCCACAGTGCTGGGATTAGAGGGGTGCGACTCTATGCTTAGACTCTGGCCAGATCAGCCTGCCCTGGGGGCAGGGCTGGCACAACATGTGGTGCCAGGATCAATCTGCAGTCTCTGAGCTTGCCTAAGCAGGTGCTTTAGTCTGCTGAGCTACCTTGCTGGCCCTATCATATTAAGTCTTATCAGCAGAAACTAGAGCAACAGAGATGATAAAAGAGGACTTTGTGAACCATTACTTGAATTGTTTTCTAATTATGATAAACTCTTGAATTTTAATTTTTGCTTGGATTGTTGTGGGAGAGATATGATTATAAAATTTGATAGACCTAGTTTGCACTTTGATTCTGACCTCTGCTTTTCATTTTTATTTATTTATATTTTTGGTACTGGGGATCAAACTCAGGACTTTGTGCTTGCAAGGCAGGTACTTACGCTGCTGAGCTATCTCCCCAGCTCCATGACCTCTCCTTGTTGCAGGATCTTGGATGGTTTGGCTCTCCAAAATGTTTAGCACAATGTGGTGATGTGTGGTATGAATAAACACATATAAACATACATATAACTGTCTGGCATAGCGTTGGCAAGCACTGTTTCCAATTTACTTGTACCTTGCTTTCCTGCTCTGAATTTACAATTGAAATGTAATGTGAAGCCACATTTAGAGATGTAAAGACTGTAGATCTCATTCCTAATGGGCTTTATTTATTTACTTATATTTGTGGCACTGGGGATTGAACTCAGGACCTTGGGCTTGCCAGGCAAGCACTTATTCTACTGAGGTATCTCCCCAGCCCTCCTAATGGACTTTAAAGAAGAGAGCAAAGAGATTTTTCTTTCCAGAATGTGAGATGGGTTTCTAATTCGTCTCCTGCTATGAGAAAAAGTATTTGTCAAAATTAACTTTTGTCTTCTCTGAGATCAAAAAGTAACATTTTTCCTTTTTCTTGGCATGAATATTTCACACTTCACATGACTCTGGTGAGTATATAATCCACACTGACAGATTTTGAATTTCTCAGGAAGGAATGGGGCTGCCATTGGCCCAAGGGCAGGTCAGTGATTAGGTGCTGCAGTCACCTCGGATAACCTTTACCTCTCGTAAACCTGAGACAACAGCAGGTCTCTGCTACTGCTGCTGAGCTCTGGAAACAGTGGACTTGCCCATGTGAACAAGGTGGAGTTGGGAGAGGATGCAGCAGTAGGAGTGCCGCCTGCCTTGTCTTGCCTTGTAGGCTCTCGGAGGAGGTCAGACTTGAATAGGAAGTGCTCAGACTTCTTCAGGGCACCATTCCACCAGCTTGCCTCCTCCCTGCCAATTCGTCTATGTTACCCACTCATAGCTCATCTTCTTTCTCTGTGTCATCTCACCTTCTGAGTTCTATAAATAGACCCTCTGCGGAGTGTATGCTGGCTGACTGGATCATGTTCTCAAATATTTCACACAGAAAGGATGCAGTTTCCTGAGGAGTAAAAAGCTGATGTGGAAAAAATTCCAAGGACAAACAAATGCAAGATTTTCTGCCTTCTTTTCTTTTTCTTTCTCTTTTCTTTGGTTTTGCAAGCAAAATTGTCAGGAGCAGTTCCTTAAATAATTTCTCATGACTCAGCACATGTGGTAGTGCAATTTAAACATAGGCGTTCATTTGGGGCTATCTCTTAGTTATCATAGATCCAAACAAGTGACTTATGGAATTATGGACATTTGATTTACAGTTGCATTTACAATTAATCAAATGAGAGCAGCACGTACCTGTCATAGAGTTACAATGTCAGGAAAACCATCCATATGTGATCGTTATCTTCCAAAACTAAATTATCAGTAACAGTTCTTCTGACACTAAATGTATACATTCTATTGATTTAACTATTA